ACTATATCAACCAATGTTACCAACAACTAAATAAGATGATTATCCAGACCTTAACCAGACAGTCTACAACTAACTGAATGACTCAGGTCAACAGTCAGTGTCTTTATAGACTGATGTCATATTTTGGTTTGATACCCCTTCCCAGCTTTCTTCCAACTTATCTTTACACCTACCATCAGGCTTCGAATTAGTCAGTGGAATAGCATGCATAATGCATGTTCTAACCATCTCTGTAGATGAAGATTCCTTACCTTATGAACCAATTTGCTACATTTACCTAGTACTCTATATATCGCTTAGACAGCGCTCAGTCGTTACTTTCACAATATGCGAACAAGGCTTCGAAACCACCTATGATCGAATACGAGTAACCAATGAATATCCTCATTTCTTGATGGCAGTGTTTGACATCCGTAAAGCAGAAGAGAGGGGACTGCTGAGCAGCACACACTGCTTGATAGACGGACATATCACAAGTGACGAAAACCAGTAAACGCCAAACGAGCTTACTGAATACATGCCGAGATTTCGTCAGACACTAGGCTATCAAGACTGATCACAATCCCAAAATAAATGAAATGACCAACAAGCACAACTACCTCTCTATCATTAGTTCAAATGCTGACGCGGATCAGTCCTGAAGCAACAATTTGCATTTATATGGAGAGAAATGCACCCCAACCATGCTTGCATAGTTGCTTAAGGGGGTCAGAAGACTGCATTTTGCCAGCATCTTTACCAAACAGAACATTTCTGTCTGCATATCGTAGATCAACAAGTTGATCTCCTGCCAGATAAAATCCTGAAAAAAAGTAAACGAGAGCTCAATCTCTACGAGAATATCTACGACAAAGTTAGATAAGAAAAGGGAAGAGAAAAACCCATGACAAACGCCAAGTCAGGTTGACAATTCCAATAACAGTTGGTCATAAGTTGTAACTCGACTAATAGTGTTCGAGTAAAAATCTTGTATAAAGTAGATGTACTTTTTTGGCGGGCCTTCTAATGACGAACACTTACATAAAATCTTTCGGTCAACACAGTTGAGTGCTACCTCGAGGTCAAGGAATACATCAATGGTCGGGAGTTGGTAAGTATGGCTATGCTGTAAGCCCTAACAATAAATAGTTATTTAGTTAATGCATTCATGTTCAGGTCTTTAAGTAGTCTAGTTTCCTCGGGTTCGCTATTCATAACCCCTAGATAAGCGTTAGATGATTATAGGGGATAGTATTTTAAACACTATATTAGTCAAACTGATTACTTTGTGATTGTCACAAGAGAATTTCTGTCTTTCCATATAAACTGGGAGGATCAGAGATCGAGACCAGTCAGATAGGATAACTTCCAGTCCCCAGATTTTAGTTAATATTTCAGTCAGTTTAAGAGCAGAGACCGGACCATCATTCTGAAAGAAACCTAGAGTTATTCGATTAGACCTTGTTGTTTTCCCTCGCTTTAGACTAGCAATAGACCTTTTAACCTCCCTAAGAGTTGATGGGCTAATCCCAACCTCTCACTCTGGTTTACCAGAGTGGTGAGCAACAGGAAGAGATGAAGGCCAGTTGCTTAAAGTGGTCTGCCGATTGTTCAGTGAATTATGAAAAGTAGCTAAGTCAGAGCAACATACAGAAGAGAAATCTAAAAGATTACTATTCACTTGACAAATGTCAAAAAACGAACACATTAATAAGAACTAAGATGATCCCAGAGCAATTATGACCATGATAACAAAAAAGGTTTGGAAATGTCGTCTATGAACTCAGAAACCGAGCTTGATGTGACAGATTGGTTTCTCTCTGCACAAATTTCTAATCTCAACTCACTTGTGGTCAGGACATCTGGTTTTGTGGACGAAGGAATGAATAACCGGAACTGTCAAGGTTTTCAATAATTTTTTATTTCTATTTACCTTCGGACAACCATGAACGGTAGTGCATTGGTTTGAGCTTGAAAAGGGAACGCTTTGTATGGTCACTAAGTGACTAAATGAGAGAAGAGTAATGCCTCTGTAGTCCCCACACTTGCTGAGATCGCCTTTCTTTGGTAGACTACAGATAAGGATATTCTTAGCTCACTAGTGTCGAAAGGAACAATGAATCCAAAAGTTATTAGCTTAAATCTTTAAGGAACGTATATTTGTAACCAAATATAAACAATGAATGCTTATAATAAGACTGTCCCATACAACAGAGTTATTAATAGACTATATTAAAAGTATGGGTGGCGTCTGATTCATATGTAAATTTATTCTATTGAATTAATTCTTAGTCTAAGAAGTAGTCGGATAAGATGTTCACATGCTGAAACTTGTCAGTTAGGCGTATTAAATCAAAAGATAATAATGACACCAGTCAAAAAGAAATTACTACTGTCCGTATGTTAGCATTGTGTACTCAGTCCTATATCATAAATAGACTGATTAGGAAGAGGCACGATGCTGGAAAATAGTTATCAATGGGTAGTCAACTCATATCTAATATATATACATGAATATTTTGCATGCCCTATGGGAAATAAAGTCACCCGAGTTACTTTGGAATCTACTGAACACTATGATTTAGTTAACTGAATTTCTAATCATTTAACATGGAATTATTGGTAAACAAACAAACAGATATGTACTTAAATTTCATCGATCAAAGATGAAAGTTTGTGATGGGTTCCAGAGAATAATAAGATGATAAAACTACAGAATTTCTCGGTGATTGAACAATAAATCAGACATTTGCAAAATAATATATCGGAAAATAATAATAATAATAATAATAATAATAATAATAATAATAATAATCGCATTATGTAGATCTATGACATTGACACAGCTTGTCTATACAATGAGAAGCTTTCAATTCGAGTGCAGTTACACTAAATACTGGAAAACTGATAATAATCATAATGACCTTTTCTGATATCACTAGGAAAATTTATTAGTAACGACCAAAGTATTAAGAGAGCAGCTATTGTGTGTAAATGATTATACTATGTCACTGGAAGTGGGACAAAAATTAGCATTTAAGAGGAGCAACAGAAAGTATCAAGTGTTTTTATACACGGTAAGAAAAATGATGTGAGAAAACAGAAACTCACATTTCATAAAGAAAAGATAACAGTATCGCAAGTAACTGCTTTAGGGGGATTTAAATAGACCAGAGACTGAGTTGTTCAGGGAAGAATTGTAACTCAAGAACGAGCTGGTCAAATCTAAGATAGGATCTATTGGGTTTTTGCACGAAATTCATCCATTCGTAGAGGTAAATGGCGTTCTGGGGTCGCAGCTGATGTCAGTTCATGATGAAAAACCTGAACCGCAGCATCGCTCAAAGCCCATCTACAATTTTTTGCCTAGCCTTGTTTGGCTATTCAACACACTTAATTGTAGCTAACCCTAGAAGATACTTGACCCAAGAATATTACACAGTTATGTGCGTTACGCTTTCCCAAATTAATGCTTCGACCACATATTATTACACAAAAAAGCACACAAAGTTATAATCTCCACAATACCAGGATATGTAACTTACAGCACACCCTGAGAACGACCACTTTTTATGAAATATCCGTATATTTTAGTACAGATACCAGAAAGAACTCTTAACACTTAGATCAATGAGCACCATAGATCGATTAATACATAACGTATTTCGTAGTGCAATAAAGAAATTAACTGATTCATTCCACTTAACTAACCTCTGGAACCACTAATAGAATCTTGAACAGTTTCCACAGAAGACAGGTAGCTAACTGTTTAGTAAAGCTTCTGTGACATAACGATAACTTTTGCAAAAATAAATAATATTCTACTTATTGGATGATCGTTATTCAATATTGCAATGATCGTCCTTTAACACTTTGCTAGCTAAGTCAGAAATTCCTTGAGATTAGATTCTTGTGGTTTGATAGTAACTTGTTGAGCTGGTGGATCCAACATTAGAAGCCAAGTCGATTGGAATTAGAGACAACTATGGTGTTTGCAGGAACGTTGTTTGACGGACTCAAATGGCCGAAAATAATAGTATGGAAATAAAGGCGTATTATGGAAGAAATACAAATATGAAACCACCTGATATGTTAGAAGCAGTTAAACTACACCTAAAGGATACTGAATGGTTTGATATCTAATGATATCCGTATGTCGTTATCAAGACACATTGGCCTTAAAAACATCACACAACTGAGTCGTTTTGAGGTTAAAAGTATGGATCTTGATAGAAATGGTTGATATAATAATGAACTTTCATCCATCACAGTCTTTGTAGAATCTGTCACACGTCTCTCACACCACCTTAAGAGTGAAATAAATAATACTATAAGGGTAGGTCGAGACAACCTGAGGTGCCCAATCCAAGACAGTATTAGTCCTTAATATCACAGACTGTGAGCTTGAGACAAGCAGAGTCTCGGCTTACTAGTATGCATTCGTGAGACAATCATTATTGGTTGTTTGAGCCTTGGAGCAGCATAATCCGAATCGATGGAGATAGTTAGGAATAATTTCATTGACTGGTTAGTAACCTAACAGATCCATATTTTAAAAAGTTTGGTGTTAGAAATGACTTGAGTTATATTTATCTTATATGAAGTCATTTGTAAGTTTGCTACTTTACTGCATAAAAAGTAGATTTTCGTTCACCACTTGTTCTGTCTTCTCAGAACTATTTATCTAAGCAAGGACTTAGAGTTAAGAGTTAGGTTTCAGTGGGTAATCGTTACTCGGTTACAAGTGATTAATTGAGCCAAACGAATTCATAGTCAAGCCACATGTTCTTATTTGTTATAACAAACTTAATAAACGAGCACTTTGTGCATAGATTTTGAATAGCCTTGCTCATCTCCGGGTTAAGGATACGCCTTGACGGTTATCAGCCAAACCGAGATGAAGAATCTATCCTAACTGTTTGTAACTATTCCAACGATAGGTAACAATTTACAAAAGTCAAGTTACAATAAATTAGATACCAGCAAAATTTGAAATTACCTGATTTTTAAAAAATAAGGTACTAATTTCCAAATCTTGATTTACGCGTTTTTTCCACATAGTCCTGGAAATCTCTGTAAAAGAAAGCACAGTATAATTTAGTATATTAATATATTTATGACAAAGATCAAATATAACGAAAACTCATTGCTCAAATAGATGAATACATCATACAAATGAAAATATTATTAGAAATCTTTTTAGGAGTAAAGAAATATGATAAGCGATACACTTCTTACATGAATGCAACACATTCGAGCAAGTTAACATGCAAGTAAGAAAAATTATGGACAAGGAGATCATTATTTTCTTGACTAAATGAAATGACTTCAAAAACCGACATAAATATACTACTTCAAGTTTTAATACTTCAATACATCATAACAAAAGTGTTGGAGTGATCCGGCAAATTTCTCGCAAAAGACACACAAGGATAAGGAAACACTAGGAAGCGTTTCCTCCAATCAGCGCTCACTTGAAGTTTTATCCAAAAATATCAGGGAAGTGAAACATCGAATGCAGAGATTCTGATTAGTTGATTACTAAACTGCTTCTATGTTTAGTAGCATTCCAGAATCTTCGAGCAACCCAAGGACATTTAAAATATTATAAAAAACCTGTATTTTCTGTATTGAAATGAACCTTTGAGTAAACTAATTCTCGCATAATTTGCGTCTACTTTCTCGTTGTTCAGGTCGCTGTATAGTTCTAGCTTGGGGGTTTCATAATAGCTTAGGAAACGAATATAACGTTCAATCCGCAAGACTTATCAGAAAGGACATGCATTTTAAGATGCAAACTATTAAAGAAGTTCAGAATGGAAAATATGAGTATTAATCGTGATAGATTAATAGTTACAGCATATGAATTACAGGGACTAAGTTGTAACCTTGAACTTCATTCTATTTACTTAGTCATGGTTAGCTGGATAGTATCACTAACTCTCATGTAATATGTGTTACTGAAAAACAAATCATCTGAATATTTGATTGTTTACAGCATTTGATTCGAATTTATTTTTAAAAAAATAAAGCGAAAGTATAGAGTTTATTCACTAAGTTCTTTTTAATAATCCATTTCTAACCTATTTTGAATTGATTATAGGGAAATCACATTTTCTTTATACAACAAACAATAATATTATAATTAAGTTCATAATATGACAAGAGCATTCCTAAAATTTTCTTATTTTACATTAAATCAATTAACATGTTATTTCATTGTTTAAATCATTATTAGTTTAAGAATATATACAGCTTTGAATATAATGTAATGTAATGTACAGCTATGTAATTTTTATGCAACTTATTATTTCACACATAACAAACATTAGATATTTATTATTAAGGTTTTTAATAAACAGTAATCTTAATAATTCTATATCTTTCTTTTATGTAATTATTATTTTAAAATAATTAAATGTTGATAACATTCTCTAATATGTTTAAAACAATTAGTCCCTTTGATAAATTTCGATAATGCAATGAGAAGACGAAGTTTATCAGCATTTGTAGTGTTATACAAAAGCCTTCAAGGACGTATACTAAGGTTTATTGAAGCCTTGGCTATACGGAAATCGAAACACCCTTTATGTGTTTAAAAACAATTTGTCCTTACACTTAACCTACCCTGGTAATACTGATTTATTATCCAGAGTGGTAATCACATTTGTTTTTTTTTCTGTGTACTTTAATATTTTTCCTTTGTTATGACTTACCTTTAACCTGTTTAGTTGACTTTTTAATTTTCATATATAAATGTTCTTAACATGTATATGTGTGATCAGATTGTTCGAAATGTATTGCGCAAATATATCATATAATTCTGATAAACTTCATCTTCTCATTGCATTATCGAAATTCTAATATGTAATCAACATATTTATGTTTAAAGTTGTTTTCTTTCTTTTGTTTAACTTAATATGAAATGTGTTTATGATTTAATTCAAAATCCTAATGATAATACTAAATTTAATTGTTTGAATCATTAATTTATTAAAAGAAATTAATACAAAATGTTTTGAGGTTTGATAATAACAAAAATGTAGTCAGTGAACTTATAGAGAAACTTCACAAATAAAAAGTGCTAACAGATAAGATTAAACTTATAAGGGAAGTGGAAGTCAGTCAGTCAGCATCGATCCAAGTTGCCATACCGCATTAGCATAAGATGAACACCGAATTCATAGAAGCAGTTAATTCAATGTTGATAATATGTGAAAGAAAGATTGTGTATAAGGATATAGTACAGGAAGAAAGAATTAGTAGGTAGAAAGAAAGATATAAAGCAATTTTAATCTCATAGTTTAAGGGAAGACAAAGAGTATATACACCTACGCCATTGTGATCGATTATGAGCCATGTCACCCAGAGTCTCCAACCATTGGTTACGATAGTCACGCGGACCCCAACCAAGTAGTCTGCATCTACCAACATGTCTGAGATTGAAAGTAAAAAAAATGGTCTTCGGTGAGAATATCCTTAAATAGTGACTTATTCTTAGACCAGATGATTGGAAAAACCAGGCTAACCTGTCAAGAGATCTTTTGACTGACTTCGCACTACTCTCCAAATACTCACTTTCTACGAATAGCTTCATTAGAATATTAGGGTCGAACCCCTTAATTCTTCACAGAATTGAAGCAACTGTAGCTAATGTAAAACGAAGAAGAGTATCAAACCTTGATAAATTAACTGCAGGAGTCCTTAGGAATGATGGTCAAGTATTATCAGTTTTATGAGATGTAAACTAAGATATGCAAGCTAGTCGTGTCGTCATTTTACTGATTTCGACAACTGATCAATACTGATGATAAAAAGCATGAAAACCCTCTTTGGTAACTATGGTAGAATGCGCTTGACTAGCATAACTCCTAAAATCGTGGTGCGCATAATTATCCGACGCTCAACTGGAGCTCGGCAACAGTGAAAAGCAGATGTTTTAAATTTAGTGTGAATAAATTAACAAAGTATTTCCATTTCTTTAGCTTAGCGAACAATCGTTTACCATAAAAGAATACAAAAATTAGCGTAAAGTAACATTGGAGATTCTTAAACGGTGTGTAGTTTAAACAAGAAGATTTTCCACCAGTCCAGTGTTGAGCACCATTAAAGTTCATACTATGAACAGATATACCTTTTGGGGACAAATTCTCTATCGATTATTTCTTGTAATATAAGGTAGAGGCCAATACAAATCTATGAAAAAAACAAACAAAACAAATATCACAAAGTCAGTGTAACAAACAAACAATATCCACGCTGATTACCGAAATCTAGTTAGTTGCATTGTAATCAAAAAGTCTGAAAACTGAATAATGGTTTCACTTTTTCAGAGGTGAAATTATCCAATAATCTTAGACAAGAGAGTGCACTGCTTCACCTTATTTGAATATGATCAACTGACCAGAAATAAGTCATTGAACTGAGTCGTGTTGGTAAGTCTAAACTATGTGGTTGAAGCTCGTGAGACTGTCGTAGCCAATAAACTAAAAGGTTAAGTGATTTGGCGCATAATCATTCACATTAGCTACAACGATAATATTGATGCAAAATGCAAGAATCAAGCCTAAAGCTTTGATCTGGATATTGTTGGTGTGTGAGCGAATTCAGAAACCTATACCTATAGCTTGTGTTTCAAGAGACCTCTAATGATGTTTATTTTGAATAAACCATTGCAATATACCAGAGTAATAATCTACTGTGTTAGGTAATCGTATTATCTTTCAACAACAGTTCGATCGAACGCCTACATTATTAATTCGGTTATGAAGTTACCAATAGGTCACGTGAAATTACTAAGTACCGATTAGCATTCTATCTATCCATCATTTTAATAGCTCAAAAAGTGATTATAAGTATCTAAACCTACACCTCCATAACTCCGCCTGTAGCTCTTCTAGAGTTACTGCCGGTCCCAAGCCCGGGTAAAGGAGGAGGGTTGAGCATGGGGTTAGCGTCCCCATCCTGTAGAAAACTAACTCGCTAAAATACGCTTACCAGAAAAAATAATTCAAACCATTTTAACTCTGCCCTGGGAGTTAGAAGGTCTTCATTTAGAAGAATTATGACGCTTCATGGTAAAAGCCGAGTTCCTTCGGAAGCCACGAGGCCGATGCCCCTTCTAACAACCAGAGCAAATATTTTTATAGGTACATGGAACGTTCGAACAATGTGGGAAACCGGGAAGACCAGTCAAACAACAACGGAAATGAGGAGATACAACTTGGCAGTACTGGAAATCAGCGAAACCCACTGGACCCAAGCTGGACAGAAGAGGCTAGCTACGGGAGAGATGCTGCTATACTCCGGTCACGAAGAGGAAAATGCTCCACACACTCAGGGAGTCGCTCTAATGCTGTCCAAGGTAGCACGAAATGCACTTGTAGGATGGGAGTCTCACAGATCCAGAATCATCAAAGCATCATTCAAGGCAAAGAAAGAGAGGATCTTAATGAATATTATCCAATGTTATGCACCCACCAATGATAGCAACGACGACATTAAAGATCAATTCTACGAGCGGCTGCAGTCAATCATAGAGAAATGCCCAAGAAAGGACCTAACTATTCTGATGGAAGATCTAAATGCCGAAGTCGGGATAGACAACACCGGATATGAAGATATCATGGGACGACATGGACTGAGGTAGAGAAACGAAAATGGAGAAAGATTTGCAAATTTGTGTGCATTCAACAAATTGGTCATAGGAGGCACAATATTTCCACACAAGCGTATACACAAGGCTACATGGATCTCACCGGACCACACTACAGAGAACCAGACAGATCATATTTGCATCAACAAAAAATTCCGTCAGTCAGTAACAACGTAGAACTTCGTACGTATATACATCAGTTCGAGTTGCCACACCACATTAGCACAGAGATGCAGTGGTCGATTCAAATCCCGTAGTGGTAGAGGTAATAAGAGTATAAGCAGTAATCGGGAAGATTAGGGTTTGGAGATGTTATTTAAAGAGTATAATACAGTGAAATAAATTTGGAAAGAGGAAAAAAGGGACATGAAGGATTCAGAAGATTAGAATTTGGGAGAACACAGAGAGTGGATGCACCTGCGCCATTGCAAACGATTTTGAGCCATGTCATTCAGGGTCTCTAACCATCGGTTGCTATCATCTCGCGGTCCCCAACCAGGTAGTCTACACCTACCAACATGACTCAGTTCACTTGTCAGTGACTTCATGGACTTGTGCCATGTTTTGGTCTGGCCGCCCCTAGCTTTCTTCCAACCTACTCCTATACCACTGAACATCGCACGTCGAGGCAGTCGGTCGTTGGGCATACGTAACACGTGTCCCAGCCATCTCAACTGATGAAGTTTCACTACTTCATCAATTGATTTGCCATCCTTACCTAGTACCCGTTTCCTAACAACTGTATTACTTACTCGATGGTCCCAGGATATACGAGCAATATTTCGAAGACACCTATGATCAAATACTAGTAACCTACGAATATCCTCTACTCTTACCGGCCATGTTTCACTGCCATAAAGTAGGACGGAACGAACTGCTGCGCAGTAAACACGTCCTTTGGTTGATAGACGGATATCTCGCCTACGCCATAAATGACGCAAGTTGGCAAAAGCTAGTCGAGCCTTCTGTATCCGTGCTGAGATTTCGTCACACACCAGACCACAAGGGCTGATGAGACTTCCAAGATAAGTGAAGTGTCGACACTCAACTACTTCACTCCCTATCATTAGTTCGGGTGTCGAAGTAACCCAATCCTGAAGCAACATTTTGCATTTCGAGGGGAGAATCGCATCCCGAACATGCTTGCATTGTTGCTTAGAGTGGTCAGAAGACTCTGCATTTTGTCAGCGTCTTCACCAATAAAACTATGTCATCAGCATATTCTAAGTCAACAAGTGAACCTCCCGGTAGAAGTTCAACCCCTATAAATTCAGATGAGGAAAGTGTTATCTCTAAAAGTACGTCAATGACAAAGTTAAACAAGAATGGAGAGAGTGGACAGCCCTGACGAACACCACTTGAGGTAATCAATTCTGATGACAGTTCGCCATAAGCTCTCACTCTACCAGTTGTGTTCGAGTAGAGAGCCTGTATAAGGTTAATGTACTTCTTTGGTACTCCTTTCAGTGACAAACACTGCCATAGAACCTTACCATCAACAGAGTCAAATGCCGCCTTAAAGTCGAGAAATACTACCATTGTGGGGCGTCTGAACGTGTGTCTGTGTTCTAGAACCTGACGTAGTGTGATATCTGATCTATACAACCACGTCCAGGTCGAAAACCAGCCTGATTTTCTCTAGTCTGCTCTTCACGAGCTTTGGTTAGGCGTCTAAGTATTATTGAAGCTAACACTTTAGACACTATATTAGTCAAACTGATTCCTCTGTGATTGTCACAAGAGGACTTTTGTCCTTTCTTATAGACTGGCACAATCAGTGATTGAGACCAGTCAGATGGGATCACGTCCAGTTCCGAAGGACAATGGAAGATGTGAGAACCAGGAGAGGTGCTGACATAGCTTCAGATCACCACCTAGTTGTAGCCAATTTAAAACTGAAGCTGAAAAAGAACTGGACAAACAGCACTACAAAGGTTCAATACAGCCTTCCTTCGAGATACTGACAAACTCAGTGAATTCAAGATAGCTCTCAACAACAGGTTCCAAGCCTTCAAGTTCTATTGAAGGAAGAAGAAACTACTATGGAGGACAACTGGAAAAGCGTCAAGGAAGCATTAACTTCAACGTGTCAAGAAGTTCTGGGTCTAAAGAAGCACCATCATAAGGAGGTTCAGATGCAGATGTAAAGACGAGGATCGGCAAAGCAAGGGTCGCATTCCTACAATTGAAGAACATATGGAACTCAGAACAACTTTCAACCAATATCAAAGTGAGAATATTCAATACGAACGTCAAGGCAGTTCTACTGTATGGAGCTGAAACTTGGAGAACTACGACAACCACAATCAAGAAAGTACAAGTGTTTGTAAATAGCTTTCTACGCAAGATACTCAACATCCATTGGCCGGATACCATCAGCAATAGCCTTCTATGGGAGAGAACAAACCAACTTCCAGCTGAAGAAGAAATTAGGAAAGGACGATGGAAATGGATAGGACATACATTACGCAAATCGTCAAACTGCATCACGAGGCAAGCCCTAACTTGGAATCCTGAAGGGAAGCGAAAAAGAGGAAGGCCAAGGAACACATTGCATCGGATAATAGAAGCAGATATGAAAACAATGAATTACAACTGGAAGGAGCTAGAAAGGATTGCCCAGGAGAGGGTTGGATGGAGAATGCTGGTGAGCGGCCTATGCTCCTTCACGAGGAGTAACAGGCGTAAGTAAGTAAGTAACACCTCCATAGTACATTAACTACTCTCTAGTATTAAGAATAATATGTATGAAAGTTTGTCCTTTTATGGCTCATTCTAACAATTGTCTACATATTCGTTATTCCATTAACAGATTTTAACGACACCTCAGTTAGATGTGTAAAATGTGGACAAAAGTGTTCACAGTTAAATGGTAAACTTTATGATCAGCAGACTAACGGTGTAAATGTATAAAACATTGTAATTAACAATTGATTTACAAGGTTAGTTGGCACGTCAAAAAACCTAGACTTCAAAGATTCTGTCATGTTTTCTGACCATATGATCATAAATGAATATGTAATGAAAAACTACTCACTAGATGATTTGCATTAAAGTTGAAAATAATAATCAAGGGTGCTGATTAACTTAAATCACGTATGGTATTTATTCAATTATAGAAGGAGCAACCTCATAATGCTACGGTAAATGAAATAAATTATATACATTTATGAAATCGAATGTAGATTTTTTCTTTAACAATAACTCGTTATTTTATAAACTTGAAGATCATACGGACGAAATCTTAGACTTGAGTTTAATGAATCTTAACACTTGATATTACGGTATTATGATTGCATGATCATTAGTGTTGATATAAATAACATCAAGTACATTGGGTAAAATAGAACCAATTTGTTTCTGTAGATTTAATAACATTAAACAATCATGTAGACACAGAAGAATCCCATAATTAATAAATAGTATTCTTGTAACGTTTCACACTCAAGACACCAATTCTAGGCTATCTAACCTGGAGCCAGGAAATAATAAATTCAGATTGTGTACATATCACACATTACGTGACAAACAGTACTAAAATAAAAAAAAGTCTCTAGTCGTTCTAGTCAATTAATTTCTGCGTTACTCTACTGACGAACGCTTTAAAGCAACATAACTTACGACGAATATGGCGCTATTGACTACCAAGTTGAACGGAACTCCTTCGAATCCCCATATATATTCGGAACCATTTGTGTTTCGGTATGAATGTGGTGCACACGTTGACATTCCGCCTCCTAGATGTTCATAAAACTTAATTTTATTTGTTAAAACAACTATAACGTGAAAGAAAACTGTGTATTAAAACATGACCTAAGCTGTTCATGATAAAACTACACGACAGGATTAAATGCAGGCTGCAGAGCATTAAAATGGTATCAAAATCCCCAGCTAAGTTTTAGGGTGATTACAGGGTATTTGAGTAGAACAAAGTAATGAATACTTTCATTCTTGTACAACCTCTCTAAACACCTTTTGGTAGAGCTTTCGACTAACTTGATTGGACTCCGACAAATCAGAACCTCGCGGCAAAATGAATTACTTAAATATAAACGACCTAGGAACTAACACATTTCGGTCTAGATTACCGAAACATACCAGGACAGCTATAGGAAATCGACAAGATAACTGACAAAAAATAATAATGATAGTAGTAGGGAATATAAGAACGAATTAATAAAAATTTTGAGCCTTGAAGCACACTTAATTGGGAAATCTACTTATTAAGATAGCTGTTTAGGAAAAACGTGGATGAAAGTATAACTCATCCAGTAATTTAGAATACGTACGATAAAATTGGTTGATATGATAAAACACACCAATATGGTGCAGCAAAATAACCCCAAAAGTAATGTATGTGAACATTTATACAGCTTTGACTACTGCAACAACTAGTCGATAACGCTAAGAAAACCGCTAGAGATATCATGAGCTGAGAAAGATATTAGATGGGGTACTGAAAACCGTTTTATCAATCCAAGCCTATCAAATATCATTTGCTTAAAATAGATGGATGTTATTTATTTAATTCTTTCTTTCTTTCAACACAAAAATATTGGTACAACGATGGCAGCAAATATAAATGCGCCACACAAAACAATAAGAATGGCAAGAAAAGAAAATAAGGAGGGTAAGGGGTGGAGAACAAAAAAAGACCAATAACAACCAAATTAGTGTAGAGAAGTGTGATCACAATAACAATAACAATAGTTATAATAAAAATAATAATAATCGGGGAGACGGACAGGAACGACCACCCCCAAATGCCTTGGTATGGTCGAGAGTGGGGAGAGTCCGCTCTCCCTCTCGAAATGCTCTCACACAGCCACGCGTATACAGCCTCTGTCAGAGAAGTCCTACTCACTGCCTTCTCGTGGCATTACTGTTGTTTACGAAAATGAGAGGACGAAAAGCGAATATCCGGCGCTCTAACCAGATCCCAAACCAATGGTGCACATGGACTCCAGTATCCTGAGGGAACAAATGAAGCATGAACCAATTGTTGGTCACCCGCTACCATGGGACTGCGTCTCCTCACGATGCTCCACTGCCTTGTGGGTCAGACATTAAGGTCAAAGGCTCGGGGTGTGGCCTAATAATAAAACCACCTGCTTCGGTCTGAGCACCCGGGCAGTATCACAGCCCATACACAAATAAAATGAAAATGACGATATTTACTGAAAATTCTATTCGCGCTTCGATTAACAGTCAAACAATTCACATTATTAATACTATTTACCAAGTCACTTATTCACTCTCTTTTATTCCTACTTTGTGTATCCTTATTTTTCGACTTAGACAGCAGTACGCTCATGGTGGAAACTCGGTTTTATTTAGACGTTCTCGAGTCACTGCCTGGTTGAAAATTGTATGCTACCACCAAATACGAATACTGAAACAGATTTTCTGAAACCACGTGCACCATTCAAACTGGCTGCCTTCAACGTTCGCACACTTATGCAGGTCGGACAACAGATAGGGCTGGCTATGTCTTTGGAAAGTCTTAATATCGACGTTTGTTGTCTATCCGAGACCCGTATTCAGGACTCTGGTGAAGTACTACAAATTCGCTCTCCATCTGTTGCTTCAAAAAGCTTGTTTTATGTGCGTTTATCCGGGGACCATGTGGCATCTTCGTCTGGTCTTGCTGGCGTTGGTGTAACACTAAGCGCTAGAGCCGAGGCAGCACTAATCGATTGGATCCCCATTAACAGTCGGTTATGTGCTGTTAGGTTAGAAAGTTCCATCAAAGTGAGAAGAGATCGGCGTGAGAAACGATGTCTTTTCGTCATCTCCGCCTATGCATCGACAGATTGCAGCCCAGCTGCAATCAAGTATGAATTCTACCACCAGTTAACTGTTCTTCTCCAGAAAGTGCGTTCGACAGATATTGAAGTACTAGCCGGAAAAATAAGGATACACAAAGTAGGAATAAAAGAGAGTGAATAAGTGACTTGGTAAATAGTATTAATAATGTGAATTGTTTGACTGTTAATCGAAGCGCGAATAGAATTTTCAGTAAATATCGTCATTTTCATTTTATTTGTGTATGGGCTGTGATACTGCCCGGGTGCTCAGACCGAAGCAGGTGGTTTTATTATTAGGCCACACCCCGAGCCTTTGACCTTAATGTCTGACCCACAAGGCAGTGGAGCATCGTGAGGAGACGCAGTCCCATGGTAGCCGGTGACCAACAATTGGTTCATGCTTCATTTGTTCCCTCAGGATACTGGAGTCCATGTGCACCATTGGTTTGGGATCTGGTTAGAGCGCCGGATATTCGCTTTTCGTCCTCTCATTTTCGTAAACAACAGTAATGCCACGAGAAGGCAGTGAGTAGGACTTCTCTGACAGAGGCTGTATACGCGTGGCCGTGTGAGAGCACTCCGAGAAGGGGGGTGGGCCCACCCCACTCCCGACCATATCTGGGTATTCAGGGGCTACCTCAGTGATAAAACCGGGTTGTTAATACATTAGCTTATGTCATAACGAAAACGCTTAAGAGTCCTTCACGTCGAAATTTTATGCTTTAGATTATGAATAAAGTCGAAGTTTATTTTTTTCAAACATGTAGACCTCAAAAAAAGTAATAGTACTTTGAAAAACCAAGCACTTTTGTAGACTTTTGAAAAGATACACACTCCAGGAATTGATATAGAATATTCATTAAGGATTAATGGCCCCTCTAAAAGACGTAGCTAAAGCAGTGAACATTACTTTCGAGATATAAGTATGATTCAAGTTTATGAGTGTTGTTTTAAAACCACAAAGTGATAATAAGCTTTCAAGAACTGACCAAATCTTAACACAGTACATCAACCTGTTCTATAGATCGTTTAATGACATATTGGATTGATAATAAATCGTTAGGAAATAATAATATATGATGTTCAAAACAACGATAACTCATAATAAGGATTTCAAAGTTCCTTTGACATAAAATTTAACCATTGGATTTTACAATAACAGTGAAAAGATGTGGTGTTTGAATTAACTAATGATTCTTTTGTACTTGTTGAATGCTTGATTTCGAATTCTAAATACAATACATTCGTTTGTGCTTGTGTCTTCTTAATTGAATTGCGTTAATCCTGTAATTTCTAGTTCATACGACAATTAGTATACCATAAAAGGCTATTTTAGCTTCCACTAAGTGAGTTCACTTGTGATCTCTGAATGATTTTCGAGTGCTGAATTTAATAAGGGTGTCGTTCATAGAACTCGACACTAAAAATAAACTCGGAATTCTCACTGAAATACTTTGTGCTGAGAATTCTATATTGTACCAATAATATAATATTGAATAAAGCTATTAATAATTAAAAAAAAAGCAGACTTAATAAGTGGAAGCTAAAACAACTTTTTTATTGGTACTGGAAAAACACAACGGTCGACCGACAGGGCTTTGTCTTGAAAAAATGCTGCAAGCAACACTCTGCACAGAGATAGTTGAGCGGTCAAAACGTCCGGGCCTCAATGTCTAAGCTTCAGCTTAAAACTCGTTTATTTAGGCTTTCTAAATAAGAGCGACTAGTTGAAAAGCAATTTCACGTCAACTGAGCTTTGTAACTATAGTCATTCCAAAAATGGTCCTCGTTACACAAGTTTATTTGCTAAAGGCCTTTGTGATGTTTGTATGAACTAACGATTCTCTTGTACTTGTTGAATCCATAAATATTTATGCTCCTTAAAGAACACGAAATATCGGAAAACCAAGAGACAAAGAATATTTTATATCTAGATTTACACACACACAAATTTCGCACCTAATAAACAATTATTTTACAATTTCAGCAACTCACTACCCACTGAACCAAAGGACCGACCGATATCAAGGTCGAACTGATGTGTTTTCCGCGCTTCAGTTATTAGTTCTATGTTACTGGTTGCGGTTAAGAAAATTATTTTTGAGCGTAACAGTCAATAATAACATGTTTTCAGCTGAAGACAATAGTTTTTCATTCGGCGCAAATGTTTACATTTAATCTGTAATTATCAAAGACTAAAATAAATAGCAATTGCTTCATGAGTACCCACTCTTGTAGCTATTCTAGGCTTGCTGCCAGTCCCAAGCCCGAGTAAAGAAGGAGGGTTAAGCATCGGGTCTGCGACCTCACGCTAACCAGAATAAACAAATTGCACCATTTACACTCGGCTTTGGGAGTTGAAGGTCTTCCAGAAAAATTGTGAAGCCGCATGGTGAAAGCCGATATTCTACGGACGTCACGAGGCCGATACCTCCTGCTTCATGAGTGTCCACTTTGGTGAATATCGACATTTTCATTAGTTCAGCACAATTATCACCGTGTTATTACCATAAATTAGTGAGAAAATGTTGTTGATGTACCGACCTAGAATATCTCCAACTTTTTAGTATTCGCCTTAATTATTAACTAACACAGCTACATACTTGAGGGTCTCCTCAGTTCTCACTGTTTTTCAGCTCCATTTGTCCACGGAGTTATAAACTACCTCGAGTTCGAGAACATATTACGTCAAGTATAAGTTGTCGAATGACAGGTTTTGCAAGCTAACAAACTTAGTATAAATTGAAAGCAGGAATAAGTAAGTGTCTAGCTATGTTCGTGAAATTATGGCTTCCGTAAATGTTTATGTTTTTGGGTTTCGACAGTAAAACTGTATCCCGGCCAGAAAAAGTCAACGAGACTATGTGAAATCTTGACAACCAAAAATAAAAACCAATTTTATATTTCGTTATGGCTAAGTTT